TTAAGGGAGTGGCTTATATTCAGGTACTGTCTTTTTTCCCCCTCCCCCCCCCAAATTTTAAAGGTGTGGCTTATTTGCGGATGCGGCTTATATTTGGGCTAATACGGTAATATTTATTCATCACCTACTACTATTAAAAAAGTCTACAGTCATCTTTTTCTCCATCCAGTGAGACAACTAAAATGGACAAATCCTACCCCACCGTACTAAAAGGTGAAGAGTAGAAACAGGCCATGAATCATGCCACCATATGACCCGAGTTAAAGGCCAAAAGCCTGGGCAAAGATGTATGTCTTAGCCTGGTGCCTCAAAGCTCAAGGCATGAGTTTGGGAAGCGTTCCTGGAAGTGGTCACCTCCTCCCTGTTCCCCTGTAGCATGAAGCCAGAGACATCTGGATTTGTTTCACTAAATGCGTTTCATTTTTTGCTCTTCAGGCAGCTCTGGCAGATGGGTTTTCCTTGTTCCTGCTGTTTGCTTGCAGCCTAGTATATAGTACTCTTGCTGATATGGACTCATTTGTTTGGACTTTTTGTATGTTTTTTGTTGTTGTTAGAGAAGATCTTGCCTCGAGGGATTGAAATGGATGCCGTTCAGCTACTCTGCAGTTCTGTTCCTAAGAATATGCAATTTTGATTCTTTAAAAATAAAGTTTGTAATACGCCTTTAGCGGATTATCGGGGGATGGGAAGAGGTAAATGTAAATTCAAAGTAAGCGTTCGACTCAACCAGCTCATCTATTCTGAACAGCTCTGACCGATCCCTCTAGAAAGCCATTCAGGGTGTTCTCTCAAGAGAGAAAGGCTGTAGCTGAATCTATAAATATGTGACTATAGCTGTCAATCATCTGTCACACTTTATATGACTTTCTGTTTGGGAGCCAGATAGGTGGAGTGCAAGAAGGAAAGCTAGCTCACTGGAGCTAGAACCACAATCCTCAATTAGACTAAGCCCAATTTTCAGAAATTGTGTGTGTGTGTGTGAGAGAGAGAGAGAGAGAGAGAGAGGAGAGCGAGAGAGAGAGAGGAGAGAGAGAGAGAGATGGTTTTTTTGGGGGGTGGGATTTCAACCATACCTGATTATCTTTGTCATTTGCTGTCAACATCCTGTTCACAATTGCTTTTCTTTATCTGAACCTTTTCTGCATTTAATTTTTAATAACAATTCCTCTCGTCGAAATTCAAGCCATGTGGTCACATCATATTATTAACAGTCAATCAGATTTGGCTGTGTGATGACATCATGAAGCCAAATGAGAGAGAGAGGGATGCCTCCTGTCCTTTCTCTGGACAAACATTGTTGTGCTTTACTTTCTGCCTCTCCCTCAATCAGTCATCAAATGTATGTGTATTTTGATGGGTTTTTCCCATCAAATTGGGAGTGTTGGGTTTTTCTTTTGGTGAAATTCGTACTTCAGTTGGGTTCAGCTTTAAATGCCTTATATGCACAGATTTACAACTGTGTTCTAAGTTTCTGGTAACTTAGAATATGTGGGAGAGAGGGAAAAGAAAGGACACCTAAGGAGAGGAAATGAAGTCCCTAGATGTCTTGTGTTGTTTCCCTGTTTGGTTATGGTTTTGTTTTCATTTCCCCCCCCTTTTAATTTTTACTTATTCTTTTGGAACTGTATGTAAAAACTACAAATAAAAATTATTATTTTTTTAAAAACCCTGTGTTCTAAGTTTCTCTGCATTTGCTCTAATTCAATAACGGGCTGAAAGGATGGAGTTTATGTTCAGGGTGTTGGATATACTAATCAATACACTATAGTACAGTATATAGCTTTAAAAAAGTGTAACCTTTGAAAGGTTAATCTTCACCAGAGGAAATGTGCAAATAGGATGAATACATTTGCTGTGCCTTTCCTGGTCTCTGACTCAAACTGCAGCCTACTGTTCTCCACTCACATCTACCTTCCTCTTCCCCTTGGTTAAGAGAGGGGTGAATAAGGATGAGTCACACTTTTGACAATCTTCTAGGCCTCCTTGGACCATCTTACCTCTCATAGAAACACATCCCCACCACATCAATAGCTATCTACCCTCCTCTTTCACATCCAAGCTATGACCAGGTATTGCCTCAGGGCAACCCACTAGCAGAAATCGAATAGGAAACGCATAACATTATGTCTTAGCCTCTGGCTCTGTGATTACTCTTACTAAATAATAGGATTGTGTACAGCCCTCCTGACCTGACTCAGGGACCACTCAGGCCCTCATATGAGGTCAACTCAGGGCCAGTCCAAACTGGGTCAACCCAGGGAGCTCCCATCCGAATTAAGTATATGTTTGGGAGGGAGCAGCGGATGGCAGGAATAAGACTATTTGGCCTGGTTCAATTCAGGATTCGGTCAAATCTGGTACACAGCGCTACTAAATAATGCTAGGAATGAAGTTAACCATCATGAAGTCCTGGATTTGTTTCAACCAGCTGCTTTCCTTTGACAGCAACCACTCTTGAGGGTCTCCAGTGAATTTCACACAGCAGGTAGATGAGGTGATGGGTTAGAGTTGTTTTGGGTTTTTTATTGTCTGCTGTGCTGGTGGCATGACTGATGATAAGAGAAAGAAGCAAGAGCGTAGCACAGCTGTGGTCTCAGTGTGCTCTTTGGCCCAGGTAGGCAGTGAGTCAGCTGTGCTGGCTGTGGGTGATGGGAGATGTAGATCCCCAAAAAATGGGAGGGCACCAGACTCCTGACCTTTTGACTCTGGTGTTTCCTAGGGTTGGGAGTCCCCAAAGGGGTTCCAGTTGCGACACAGGGGCTTAGGAGAGCATGTGGATTATGTCTGATTCCCCTCACACAGCAGCGAGAGAGGTTTGGCCAAAGGCCAGTGTGCCATTTGTAAGCATTCAGAGAAGAGACCCGAGCACCTCATGGAACTGAAATTGGCACCGTTCGACTGCAAAAAGTTTCAGCCAAATTGGAAGGCAGGACTGTTACATGATTAGTGAGGAGGGGGAGAACAAGTGGAGGGCTAACCTTGTCTGTTTTCACAGCCAGGGATATGATCTCCAAATTAAATTTCCATGATTTATCACATCTAGAAAGGTTAGAGGAAGCAAATAAACAACATAAAAAAGCAGGACGAAAACAGGGGATGGAGTTGCCAAGGTTGCTTCTTCCCTTTTATGGCAGAAGGGAAAGCTTCCTATGAAAATTAGATTATGATTGGGTCCCAGAACTAATTGTTATGAGATAGCAAAGGGGTATTGTATTGCCATTGAGCTGCAATGTCTCAGAACTGAATCCCATCTATTATTGCAGAGGAATTTGTCAGAAAGTGCACTGGGTGTCTGAATTTGTCCCTGCTGGGGGAGCTGCTCTGAGTCACTGTGATGTATGGGGATTTGGTAGAGAGATGAGGGAACACATTCTTTCTCCGATGCATAATCTGTTGCATAATCTTTGCCACTTTCAGCAGCATTTTTTTTTATTCTGCCAGCAGTGACCGGCAGGTAGGACGGCAGCCAGCCTCCCCACCGAACAGGGAAGTGGCCCACTGCAGAGCATCCATCTTTGAGATGGAGAAAGGGGGGGGAGGGGATTCAATGAAGAGACAGGACAATGACAAGACAGAGTGAATGCTGGGATAGCTTCTCCAATGCCTGAGTTAATGAGGAAGGGATTGGCTGTAGAATTCACATCAGATACCTGGCACTGATACCTAGACATTGTCTTGTCCCTTCAGTGGTGAGAATAAGCAGGGATTTGAAGAGGCCAGAGACAGATCCTGATTAGTACGAGCAATGTATTTTATATATTTCCTTTCTGACTCTCAGCCATAAGGTTAATGAAAGACGATCTCAACAAGTTCTTTGCTGCTTCTCTTAGCACAGAGTGGAATTTTGCTCTTGCTTTGAGTCTGGTAATTGTGTTTTAATGACGAGTCATTGTTGAGATGCTTGTTTTGATATTTGGAAAGCATCTCTGAGGGACTCCTTTTTGGAGGAGAAAAGCAGGAAATGCATTTTGCATAAGCAAAACAATGTAGCCTTCTGGACACAGTTCTTGGTCCATGTGCTTGCCAACCTCTGACTTAAATCGGGCTCCTCCCCTCCCTGTGGTGTGTGTGTGTGTGTGTGTGTGTGTATGTGAGGCCCAGAGCAAATCACATAGTGTGCCCCCCATATTCTCTTCATGGCAATGGTGATGGGAGTGCCCCCTCCTCCTCCTCCTTGGCTTACTTTTTTGCCACTGCTTTAGTGGTAGCAGCATCACGGAGACATTGCTCTAGAAAGGGAGAAGATGGAGAGCCTCAGTGGGTGGGCAGGAGGCAGCAGGGCCAGGCAGGCAGAGGGGCTGCTGGCCAGTCCCACTAGTGTCAGGCATGCCTTCCCAAAATGTGTCTCACAAAGCAAAGGACCCCACAAAGGTTGGGGCCAGGGACAGTCATTCCTATGCATTGTCCTCAAGGGTGACTCTGTTAATAGTTGTATTGTAAGAAGAAATTGTTCAGCTGCTGTGTCATGGAATTATACTGAGTGAAGAAGCTTGCTCACTGAATATTTTCCTTCCTCACATCTGTTAAAGAATGTATCCGAAGGCTCCATATTGATACTCCCAACTACCTTAGGGAATGTGTGTATATTGAATGAATTGTGTACATTCTCTGCCCAATATGCACAATCCCTGGTAAGTGTTGAAGAATGTGCATATCTCTGGCCATTATGCATAATCCCTAACAGGCTTTGGGGAATATGCACATCTTGTTTGGGCAATATGCACATTTTCTGGCCAATATACATAGTCTACAACTGGCATTGTTTTTGTTTTGTTTTCTATCTCTAGTTCAGAAGTATGCAATGGTTCATATAAAGCAAAATAATGAGGAAAAGAGTATATTCTCTTGCCTTAACTTTAAAATGTAGTACAGCCTACTTGCCCAAATAAACTAGCCCATTACCTGTTCCACAGACATATCTGTCATTATGTTGTTTATTACTCCATATTTTCTGCTTGTTATTTGTCATAATTTGGATCGTCTCATTTTTCGGTCCACAGAATGTCATCTGACAACTCTACCATTCTCTGTGATGTGCAACTCTTCTCAGGTCAGTATATAAACAAAGCTCCATGCCATCCTCTGCTTTCATATGTTTTTATGTGGCTGTATCTTCCTCTTCCTCTGGATTATATGAGTTAAATGGGAAGGAAGTTGTTGTTTTATTGCAAGTAACTTTGTAGGTTCCCCTTTCACTCTGCTGTTCTATGAAGCATTCCCCAATGCAGCACAACCTCACAGATATCTCCAAATCAATTTTTATCACATATTGATAAATTAACCCAAGAGGCATGTTGAACAAATATGTCAAATGTAGCATTTGTTCTTTCATCTGGAAAAGGGGAGATTTATTGCATAATCTAATCACACTTTTCTTAAGCAAATATTGATTCATTCAAAGAGCAGTTGAAGGCGAGATGTTTTCCTTTAGTTATTACATTAACATTCATCATTTCCCCTGGCTTTTTCTTTTTTCTTTTTTTAAAAAACCCAACCTTTTAAAGGTTAGTAATCAAAGATTTTAGAGGCCTGGGAATTCCTTCTTGGACAGAAATGATGTATTCCTGAAAACCCTTCATTATGCCTTAGCACAACTGGTTGTGCTCTAGTACTCTAGTAGCACGGAGGAGAATCTGAGTGTTTAGTGCAGGTATGGAGAACCTTTGACCATCTAGATGTTGTTGTACTATAATCCCCTCAGCAGGCCAGACATGAAGAGTGTTGTTGTTCAGCAACATCTGGAGGGACAAAGGTTCTCCACACCTGGTTTAATGTCATGAAGCCACCTTCTTCTTTGACAATCACTCGTAGCCAAGTAAGGTTGTTTTCCATAAACATGGTTTTTAAAGTGAGTCCATAAGTGACTGTGGAGGCCAATTCTGGATCCATACACCCTTCCACATTGGGGACATAGGTTTCTGGGTGGAAGTTGATCATGGTGAGGATTTGCCAAGCGTGCCTTCCTCTTAGCACATTTCTCTCTTTCGTCCTGAGTTCAAACATCTTCAAAACCCATGACACCTTTGGTAAAGGCTGTTCTCCAAATAGAGTGCTTGCAGGCCAGTGTTTCCCAGTTGTCGGTGTTTATACTACATTTTTAAAGCTTTGCCTTGAATCTCTTTTGTTGACAGCCAGCATTACGCTTACTATTTTTAAGTTCAGAATAGAGTAATGTCATGAAGTAGGCTCTTGCTCACACAATGATCTAGGCTGCAATGAATTTGTTAGTTTTTAAGCTGTGCATGTGAAACTTTGCTTCTTTTTTAATGACTAACCAAGACTACTTTTATTACTACTACAACTACTACTATTACTACAGAAATGTTTCTAGATAAGGATCCGTTACATGACATCTGTTATATCCATACCCTCCATTGCTTACCCATATCTTGGAATGCCAGAAGCTAAAATAGTCTCACCATGCTTTTTTGAAGGGTTGATTTCTGGTCCCCCTGATTCTGGGGTGGGTGGTGAGTGGTGGCTTCTTCAAAGCGTACTGATATCAAGAATCAACTATCTATATCTACAAAGGCACTTGGGTTTTTCTCTATCTCACTGACAGAAATAACAATTTTTGTGAAGTTCTTCTACAACCATTAGGAAGCTGAATGAAATTGGCACACATGCATACAGCCTCAATGCACACCAATTACCAGAAAAGGCTGAAAATGGGACACAAAACTTAGCGAACCAACCTAATTCACACTTGCCAGACTTATAATCAATTTGGAGTGCAGTAAACAAACTTGATTGCACTTTTCTCTGAAAGTTTCAATGCCGTTTTTAAAAGGCATATGAATATGCATATTTATGCGGAAAATGCATACAAAATGCATATTTTAGAGGACATTTTAAGAGACAGGGTGTACAACGTCTGATTTGTGTGTGTGTGTAATTTAAAAAGAAATTTGCAGAAAATGGGATGGAAGGGACTTATGATTGAAAGTATTTGAAACTGACACAGAATGCAAATAGGCTGATTGTCCACCTCTGGGTTATAGTAAGTGGAACTGCAATTGACCTAGTTTTTACACATACGTGCTGCTGAGCGTCATATTGCATGGAGCAGAGAAGCCCTGTCCAGAATATCACTGGTCTGGAAGAATAGTTTTGGGAAACAGATGAACAACCAGACAGCAGCTTGAACTTTTCTCAAGTTCCCATAAAACATTCCCCCCACCCTTCCAGTGGCTGACTGTGCGTGACGTTAAAAGAGTGATGACACAGCGCTTGTATCTATTTTCTTGTCTCTTTCTATATTGTCTGAACTTCAGCCAGTAAGTTTAGACTTTTAGAAATGTAGACAGGGAGAGTGGAAAGAAAATGAAGGCAAAAATAAACAGATGTGGTATCCTGGAAGACCACAGAAGACTCTTGCACAATGTCAGCATTGCTCCAGCTTCCAGGAGGAATGTTAGCACATTGCAGTGGCTCCCATTCTACAGAGGTGATGTCAGAAAGACCCACACTTTCCCAAGAGCAATTTGGCTGTCTTATTCTGAGTAACTGTTGCTGTAGCTCCATTGCTACTCTTCCATTTTAATTCTGGATATACTTGCACCATGTTTCATTTTAACTTTTTTTTAAAGAGTTGCTTCACAAGCCAGGGTTAGAGTACATTTCACATTTGTGCTGACGCTGTAAGAAACTTCCCCAACCCTGCTGTAATTCAAATGCAAAGCAGTCACCTATCGTGGAGAATATTGGATGGACCTTTATTGCTAATATTGTGCAAAGGGTCAAACTTAACAGTATTCTTGGGGGGGGGGAGAGGCTTAAAATGAGCCAGATTGATTCTCATTTACTGTAATGACACATTGGTTTGGAAAGGGGCCTAGTTTGCATTTACAGTAAGCCACTTTTATACTACTATATTTATTTAAAAGGAAGTTACATTTTTGGATTGGGGCGGGACTCCCAACTCCCATCATTCTCCATCAGCATGACCAATGATGGGAGTTGTAGTCTAATCACATCTGGAGAGCTGCAGGTTTCCCATACCTATTTTAGAAATTCCTATCTTTTGAGATTCCTTGTTCCCCTGTGAAATCTTCTTTTGGTGTGGTGAAATGTGGAGCTAGTAAATGCACATAACATTTCAAAATGAGGTGCATGAACTATTCTCTGTGTTGCCAGAATGCAACTCCTTCCACACTAGGCTACTGGCATGCATTTGGACGCTTAGAGTGCTAAAGTGGTCCAATATTCCATGTGGAAATATATATTACCGTATTTTTCGTCCCATAGGATGCTCCGTCCCATAGGTCACACCTAGTTTTTTGGGGGGGAAATAAAGGGAAAAGAAATTCCATTTATTTCCCCCCAAAAGCAGGTCGGGGAAACCGAACCAGGTCGAGGAACAGTGGGATAGCGGCGCTGCGCCTCCCTGCTGTCCCCCGAGCTTGTGGGGCTGGCCGATGTCTGCCCGGCGCGAGGGGCGCTCTGCTTCAGGGAGCCCTGCCCGCCGGGCGGCAGGCTGCTATCCGCAGCATGGGGAGCCCTGCGGGGAACTCCTGCAAGGCTCCACACGCTGCGGATGTCTGCACGGCGTGGGGGGCGCTCTGCTTCAGGGAGCCCTGCCCGCCGGGCGGCAGGCTGCTATCCGCAGCATGGGGAGCCCTGCGGGGAACTCCTGCAAGGCTCCACACGCTGCGGATGTCTGCACGGCGTGGGGGGTGCTCTGCTTCAGGGAGCCCTGCCCGCCGGGCGGCAGGCTGCTATCCGCAGCGTGGGGAGCCCTGCGGGGAACTCCTGCAAGGCTCCACACGCTGCGGATGTCTGCACGGCGTGGGGGGCGCTCTGCTTCAGGCTGCTATCCGCAGCGTAGGGAAGTAGGGACTTCCCGCAGGGCTGCCTAGGCTGCGGATGTGTTCCTGAAGCCTGGAGAGTGAGAGGGGTCGGTGTGCACCGACCCCTCTCGCTCTCCAAGCTTCAGCAAAAGCCTGCATTCGCCCCATAGGACGCACCCAGATTTCCCCTTCATTTTTGGAGGGGAAAAAGTGCGTCCTATAGGGCGAAAAATACGTTATGTTTTCATTTGGCTATGTAATCACATGGCTAGTCTGTTGAAATATGAAGGAAATATATAAATTAACTAACTAAATATTTAACATACCATAGTTTACAATCAGTAGTATCTGACAGTCCATATATTATACCATTTGCCATTACATTTTTGTAAGTTTGCTATTTCTGTTTTGTTAACACTGATATTCAGCAGCAATTTGCGGTTGCCTGTATTTGACACTCATATTTAAAATCAATACGAGTTGGAAGTGCCAAAAGTTTCCAGTTAATTCTTTGCATATCTGGAACAAACTTGCTTTAAATCAGTGCTTGACTCCCTCCCCCTCTCTCATTCTGTTGCTGAGAAATGTACTTTCTTAAAATCTAGATATGGGGTTGGATTCAACTAGCACACCGAGGCTCTTCCTTCTCTCCCTCAATACCACCCAATTGGCTCAGGAAGGCAAGAGAACCCCCAGAATGATGTGCAGGGGAAGAAGCGGGGAGGGGGGGAATCATTGCGTCTGACCAGCTGAGCTGTTTATGCTGATGGAATGATTGCCACAGTGCTATGCTGAATTCCTCCTATGTATTTAGACAAAGTTATGGAGGACAGATCTATCAATGAGTATTATGATTATTAATCATATTATAGTATTTAGAACTATAATATGATATTAGAGTACTTATAATAAGTATTATATAAGTAGACAAATGGGACATCTCTGAACACCCATTGCTGAGTGGAAGGGAGAGTAATAAATATCAGAAAAAGGATGTTTACATTTATAACAGGTAGGAGCTTCTCATAAGCATCTGGTGTGTCCCTTTGGAAACACTGTGTGGAGCCAGACCGACCGTTAGATTGATCCAGTAGGGAGGGCTTCTGTGTGTGTGTGTGTGTGTGTGTATCTACATCTATGTCTAGATCTATATTTATCTGTTTGTTCATTTGGCTGGATGGTGAGCTTAACTTTACGGTTATTGTGCTGAAATTCTCTCTTCAGCTTTGTCCCACCTAGTGCTGCAAAACACATTATTTCC